TCTCTGATTCAAATATCTGATTCCTTAGAATTATTCCAAGCCTATAATGGACACAATTTGACGGTATGTGGCACATCTGTGTGGGGGACACAACTACAATGGGGACCTTACCTAACAACGCAAATATTGTAACCTCTTTGTACCCTCATATTAATCTGAAATTTAAAAAAAGAATTTGATATACTGTACTTTATTCTGGCATATGGCAGCCAATATCAAATAAATAACAAGGAAAACTTCTTTGGTTTTGACAATGTTACACAGCACAATGGAGACAGAGGAATTGGGTGCTATAGCCAGTTTCTATCATTTTTTTCCACACTGAATGGTACATGGGCCCCCATCAGAATAACAGTAAAATCACTGAGTCAAGGAGCCCCATGATTTGTTATGCCTGACACTTATATTTTGAAGATGAAGAACTATAAGTTACTCAAGATTACTCACACAGATAATGATGTGACTTTGGGTTTGACTGGAAAGGCTTCACACGTAGCTTCACTCAGAGCTGGTTAGGAAATAAGGAAAAAAATCTTATAATAGTAATGGACAAAATATTGTGACTCATAGCCCCATAAATCAGCCTAGAATGTCGTGCTCCTTATTCAGCTGGTCATTGGAATTCCCACTGAGGCAGCTGAAGTGGTTGGGAAAGAGATGACAATGTAACAGGTGCAGACCCACTGGAAAAATGGTCACTCACCCGCATCACTTAATTTCTTCTTCAGAGCTAGTATCTTGAGGCCCTCAAAGCCTTGCTTATACATACTAATGTCATTTGATGGGATAATATCCTAGTGATGAAATATGACATGCCAGGGTTCAATTGCAAACCAAGACCTGTTTCTCAAAAAGAAATAGTTCTGTTTTGTTTTTCTGGAAAAGACATGGCTTTGAAACAAAATCAAAGGGTTTTGAGTTGGAATTCTTCTGTTGGGACTTGCCACAGGCTCCTTACTGTATCTTCATCTGTTATAGATAGTTTGCGCATCATTGCACCGACCCAGGTACCTTCTGTTATGGGGGGTCCAGAGACCTTCTCCTTCTCTCTGCTGTTTCTTCTATCTCCCTACACATGTGCTAATTCTCTTCCCCCAAGAGGTTGGAAGTTTGGCATTTTATAAAAATAAAAATAGTTTATTGTTGTTTTGCCCCTGCCACAACCTTTCCCCAGGGCAGTGAGAAAAAAGATCACCAGGGTGGCCCCTGTGGCTCAAAGGAGTAGGGAGATGGTGGATTCAAACCTGGCCCCATCCAAAAATAAATAAATAAAGAAGAAAGATCACCACTTGGTATAATGCACGGAAGGAAAATGGCAAGGACTGGGAAGGAGGAAAAATAGAAACTAACATATCATAATATTATTTTGGTTCATGCCTGGAACATTGGATGTCATCAGTAATGTCAATCATTTTCTCCTTAATCTGAGCAAGAGGAAAGCTAATAACTGTTTTCAAACATTGGAAAGGCAGTTCTGTGGAAGGGGAAAAAGATGTAGTCTTTGGAGGCTTTAATGAGTTGAATTGTATCCTTCAAAAGTTAGGTCAATATCCTTATTCTTGGCTCAGAATCTGTGGCTCAAGCAGTTAAGGCGCCAGCCACATACACCTAAGGTGGTGGGTTCGGATCCAGCCCGGGCCGCCAAACAACAATAATGGCTGCAACCAAAAAATAGCCGGGCGTTGTGGCGGGCGCCTGTGATTCCAGCTACTTGGGAGGCTGAGGCAGGAGACTCGCTTGAGCCCAGGAGCTGGAGGTTGCTGTGAGCAGTGAAGCCATGGCACTCTACCCAGGGGGATAGCTTGAGGCTCTGTCTCAAAAAAAAAAAAAATCCTTATTCTCAGAGTCTGTGACTATGACTGTATTTGGAAAATGAGTTTATACAGATGTAACTTAAGGTAAAGTTCTTGGGATGAAATCATCCTAAATTATCTGGGCATGCCCTACAGTTCAGTGGCAAACGTCCTTATAAGAGACATGCAAAGGGGAGAGGAAGGCAACGTGACCATGGAAATAGAAATTGGAGTGATGTGGGCTACAAGCCAAAGAGCACCTGAAGCCACTGAAAACTGGAAGCAGCAATGAACAGACTGTCCCTTGAGTCTTTGAAGGGAACGAATCCCTGAAAACACCTTGCTTCTGGACTTTAGCATCCAGAACTATGAAAGAATAAATTTCTATGATTTTAAAGTAGCCAAGTCTGTGGCAGCCATAAGGAACTAATCAAAGATCCAGACCGCAGGGCTAGAATTAACAGGGAAAACGTAAAAGCATGAACTTTTTTTTTTTTTTTTTTTTTTAGAGACAGAGTCTCACTTTTGTCCTTTGGTAGAGTGCTGTGGTGTCACAGCTCACAGCAACCTCCAGCTATTGGGCTTAGGTGATTCTCTTGCTTCAGCCTCCCGAGTAACTGGGACTACAGGCCCCTGACTATTTTTTTGTTGCAATTTGGCCAGAGCTGGTACATGCGGCCAACCACCTATGAGCCACAGGCACGGCCCAGCATGAACTTTCTAATTATTGGAGCTGCTCAAGAGTGTGAGAGGCTGAGTGATGAAATAGTTGGCTTAGGTAATTGGAGTTATAGTTCAGCAGTTTAATGGTCAAAAGAGAAAGAGTTCACAGAACGAAACTGGGCATCTTTTAAAACTTTTACCACATTTTACCATGTATAATGTGCACCCACATTTTGTTGCCCAAACTTTCAGGAAAGAAAAATCTTTCATTTTAATGTTTTAATTCAAATTTTTATTTGCTTATACTTTAGTACTTGTTTTTATATTATAAAAGAATTTTAGCATTTTTTAACATAGTATGGTACAAGAAATTTTATGTAACAAATAATCACAAAACACAAGAACAGATACAAGGTACAAGAAATTTCATGTACCAGTAACAAATAGTACTACCCATGTATAATGCACATCCTTATTTTTCCCTCAAAAATTTAGGCAAAAAAGCCGGGCACCGTGGCTCATGCCTATAAACCCAGCCCTGTGGGAAACTGAGGAGGGAGAACTGCTTGAACTCAGGAGTTTGAGACTTGCCTGACCAGAGTGGGACCTTCCACTCATAAAAGAATGAAAAACCCTGTCAGGTGCCACAGCAAGCGCCTATAATTCCTGCAGCTTTGGAGGCTTAGGTAGCGGGATGCCCACAGCCTGAGTCTGAGGTTGCAGTGAGCTGTGATGCCACTGCACTCTGCTCAGAGCATACGGTGGGACTCTATCTCAACAATAAAGAAAAAAAAGCAAGGAAATAAAAAGAAAAAAAGAAAAAATAATTTTGGCCAAAAGAAGCACATTATGCACGACAAAATATAGTACGTTATTATTTTATCAAACTTTTGTATTTCTAGCCATAGTTTTCTGGAATCACTGCTTAGGAATTTCCAGGTTTTACTGATACTGTTGTGCACAATTGAATTAAGAATAACACGGATCCAAACAGGAAAATTAGTTTCCAAGGAAGGAAGACATCACTGTTGATCATGCCTGGAAAACAGATTGCAAGGACCAGTCAGAGTTTCATATCTATGCAGTCAACTCATCTGTTTTTATGCTTGCAGAGGAACAGACTTCCAAACATACCAAAAAAGATGTTAATTTGACCTCTTTCTTTGGACAGCCTGTCTGGGGACACAAAACACATACTCTCAGTGCCCTTTAAAGTCAGCTAAACAATTTTCTTTGAGTTTGAGAGAGTGGACAATCAATACTCTGAATCCAATTAGATTATCTTGTTAGACAACTATTTGGAAGCCACAGGTAGGAGTTCTTAACCTGCGCTTAGGGTATATAAAAGGACAACTCCATCTTCTTCTTGAAATCCTAAGAAAATTTTTGCTCTCTGTAAGGACTTTAGTGACCTTCAAATCACTAAGTTTGATGATGTATTGTTTTTACTTCTCTGTGTGTCACATTAATTAGAGTCCCTTGAAACTGACTCTCCCATTACCATCTATGACACTATGTCTTTTTTATTTTCCTTTCATCTTTCCAGCTCATCCTCCTGGACTTAAACTTTAAAATTTGCAGTTCTTAAAAACTTGGATGTAGGCCCTTTCATTTTCTCATTGCATACTCTTTCCCTCTGTGATCTCATCCACGTCCAATTACACACTCCCAACTCTAAAACTGCTACTTAACTCAGATCTTTCTCCAGGCTTTAGATATGTGTATCTAACTGCCTACAAAATATTCTCTACTAGTTGTCTCATGGGCAACACAAACTGAACAGGAAAGCTGATCTCATGGCCTTTCCCAATAACTGGTCCTCCTCCAGTTTTCCTTATCACAGTGAAAGAGCATATGAGTATATCCATCTAGACATACAAGCCATAAATTGGCAGACATACTTTATACTTCTCTGTCATTGGGATGACTTTGTCTTATTACCGTTGTATTCTAAATATAAAATATATGTCTCTGCATCTCCATTGCTACTACCTTTATGCCAGACATACATCATTTGTCTGAACCATTCTCTACAGCATACCTACATAATCTTTCTAAATTTTGATAATGCTATTTCCCTGACTTAGATCCTCAATGGCTTCTCATTGCTCTTAGAATATAATTTAAGATGGCTACTTTATCAGCTTCATCTCATACCATTTTCTTTGAGTGTCTATGTACTTCGCCCATGAGGACTGTATTAGTTATCTAATGCCAGCATTATGCTGCAGACCATCACCAAATCTCAGGAATGTATGCCCACCATGTGTTGCTCATGCACCCATGGTGGATAGCTAGATAGCTCTGCAGATTATGGCTAGGTTTGCTCACATGTCTGGAAATCAATCAGCAGTTACTTAGGAAAATTGAGGCAACTTAATTGTCCTCAAGTCTGTCCTTTAAGAAAAGCAAGTGGAAGCACACAAGGTCGAGGTTTAGAACTGGTACATGTCCTGCTGCTCCTGGTGGTGCCTGTGTGCTCATTTGGTGCAGACCTGGTACCTCTTTAGTGAAGCAGTAGCTGAGGAGACTCTGGCGCTGGCCATGGCAGATGAAAAGCCTAAAGAAGGAGTCAAGACTGAGAAGAACAATCACATAAATTTAAAGGTGGTGGAACAGGATGGTTCTGTGGTGCCATTTAACATTAACAGGCATATGCCACTTAGTAAACGAATGAAAGCCTATTGTCAACGACAGGGTTTGTCAACAAGGCAGATCAGATTCCAATTTGATGGGCAGCCAATCAATGAAATACACATGCCTGCACAGTCGGAAATGGAGAATAAAGATACAATTGATGTGTTCCAACAGCAGACAGGAAGTGTCTACACAAAGGGAACCTGATACTTTACTCCGGAACTCTGTTATTACAGACCAAGATGACGTTCTTAGTCAGAAAACTGCAATTTGGTTCCATCACATCCTGACTACTATAGTATTGTTTTCTATATTCCTTTCATTTCCCCCTTCCCTATTCCTTTATTGTACATAAAGTCACTGGTGTATGTGCACAAGTATATTGCATTTTTTTAAAACTAAATGGCCAAGATATGTTTTGATTGATAGCGGCTGGAGATGGGTTGGGGAAAAATATTGGTGCTGTGAAAATACCCCCTTTTCTCCATTTGTGGCCTGCTCATCTGCTCTTATCTTTACATTCCAGTAAGTTATTTTGCTCTCACTGTTTTAACAAAACAACAACAACATAAAAAACCTTGCCTACCTTGTTCAACTGGAGAATCTTAATGTTTTCATTTATCATTGTAAAACCTAGGACAATATAACTTTTTCGTAGGTAGCTGTTACATATAGGACAATCTCTCTTTAAGTAGGGATAAATTACTCATTAAAAAAAATGAATCCTAGATACTTTTCCCTTCAAGACAAGTGTATTGTTGTTTAAATAAATTTCTTGGTTTTTTGTTTTTAAAAAGAACTGGTACATGTCACTTCTACCGCACTGTATTCATCAAAGCAAGCAAGTCCATTATAGATTTAAGAACTATGGAAATAGATGGCACCTTTTCAGAGACGGAAACATCAAAGGCATATAGTAGAGGATGAAGATAAAAGATGAAGACCCACAGCTATCACCGCTATCCACTGTCTTTCATTTCGTGAACATGCTTTTTTCTTACCTCTGGGGCTTAGTACATGTTCTTCAGTCTGCCTGAAGAGTTTTCCCCACCTCAGCCTCATCACTTCATTTGGCTGGCTAAATTCTACTGATTCTTCAGCAATTAGCTAATAAAATTTCCTAAGAGAATTCTTCTAGAACATCTCCCTCTAGACTAGTCTAGATATTCTTACCTCTTTACCATGCCAGCATATGTCCGCTCCTTGAACCAGTACTTCAACCAAAATGGATAATTAGTTGTGTAATTTATTTAATGTCTGATTATCCTTCTCGTAACCTCCATAAGAGCAAAAAAAGATATCAATATTGTGTCCTCAGCACTGAGCATAGTGCCTTGTACAGATTAAGTGGCTCAGTAAATATTTACCAAATATATACTTGAATGTCTACATCTGTGATAAGAGTCCATAGCTTTCTTTGGAATCTCAAATGGGCTTGTGATCCTCAGAATCATTGCCTGAATGTGATGTGTTACAGAGTACAGATATATGCTGAGTATGGAAGGCCCAAGGCTGGGGGACACTGGGGTCTGAATTGAGCACTCCTTTTATAGCCTGGGGCACAATGTGTAGCACAAGAATATCTAGAGTTCCATTGAAACTTTAGGAGTAAGGAATTTGTCAAGGAAAGAAAACTTCCTTTTCTTCATGTTTTTACCTTCTTCCTGATTGTTTTTTCCTTTTTAAAGAATCTTTGCAGAACTATTTGCTATAAATTTCTTTTGGAATTTTCAACACTATGAAGGGAATTTAGAATCAAAATTTTGATAATAACCACAAAATAAAACAGATATTACTTGAAGAGGGAGGGAAGGTGATGTATTTACTGTCATAAGCCACATACTGTGCTATGAGCTCAATTTATGTTGTCTTATTTCATCTTTGCAGTGAACTTACAATATTAAATCATTATTCACATTTTGTAGGTAAGGAAAATAGAGGTCAATGGGATTAAATGAATGCAGTTCTTGCTGTTTACAGTTTGACTTACTGTAACCCACATGTCCAATTTTCTTTTGTTTGTTTTTTGCTACACTTTGGATATGATTTTTTTGTCCCCTCCAAATTTCATACTGAAATTTGCCCCCCAGTGTTGGAGGTGAGGCCTTAATTGGGGGGAGAGGGTGTTTTGATCATAGGGAGAGATCACTGATGAATAGCTTAATACATGTACCCTCACTTGAGAGGAGTAAGTTCTCACTCTAACAGTTCCCCAAAGAGTTGCTTATTACAAAGCACCTAGAATTCCCCTGCACCCCTCTGACTTCCTCTCTGGCCATGTAATCTCTGCACATGCTGGTTCCCTTTCACCTTTTGAGAAGAGTGAAAGCAGCCTGAGGTCCTCACCAGAATCATGAACCAAAGAAATATTTCTTTCTTTATAAATTACCCAGCCTCTGGCATTTATTGAAAGCAATACAAAAAAGACTAAGAAATTTTTTAACATATTGTAAAATGTGGTGGCAAAATTAGAAGTAATTAAGAGACCACACTCTTAGCAGTATATCCCAAGAATGGACACCTTTGCTTGGGCTTCACTGAGGCCCACAGCCACTATTCCCTATCATATGCATTTGCTTCTTTACTTTCTCTCTCTGGCACACTTTTCTTCACCTCATTCCTTCCCTCCTCTTTTTTTTTTTTAATGTCTAAACTTTATATTATATAATAGATCTCTCTGACATCTTTTAAACTCCCTTAAAAATGCTGAGAATTCTCTACTTGACTTAAAAGTTTAACAGCACCAAGTTTCAGAGTCTGAGGAATGTAGAACAGAATCTTGAATTTGCCTATTATTAGCACAGTAACTTTGAAAACATTTCTTAGCTTTCTTCAGTCTTGAATTCTTATTTGGGGAAATAAAGAATGCACCACCTTCTTGGTTGAGCCAGTAGCCTTCAAATCAGCTGCAGTAAATTGGAGAGAGGGGGAAAGATGTAAAGGTGAAAAAGTAAAAAAAGTGAGGCAGTTTAAAAACCACTTCTAAGAAGAGAATTGAATGTGTCCTAGACACAGTACTCAATTCAGGGAAAATACTAAAAAAGGTATGTTTCTGAGGAAACTGAATTTCAAAAGCAACCACAGAGGTAACTAAAAGTGCTTGACTGTTTGAGACGTTGAAACAACAGATGAGTTCCCCTCAATCAAGAAGGGGCTGTAGTGCCCATTTCAGTGTACAATTCTTTGCTTGGCATAGGCCCTAAATAAATGCTTCTTCCCTCCCATACTACATTCCTACCCTTTTAAAAATTCTATTTCTGGACAGTGCCTGTGGCTCAGTGAGTAGAGCATGGCCCCATATACTGAGAGTGGCAGGTTCAAACCCAGTCCCAGTCAAACCAAAAAAATAGCCGGGCATTGTGGTGGTGCTTGTAGTCCCAGCTACTTGGGAGGCCGAGGCAAGAGAATCACCTAAGCCCAGGACTTGGAGGTTGATGTGAGCTGTGTGCCACCATGGCACACTACTGAGGGTGATAAAGTGAGACTGTCTCTATAAAAAAAATTCCATTTTCTGCTTCTACCAGGTCCCCCAGTCTAGGAATTGCTCATATCCATGCTATGGGACTCCCACCCTGACAGGAAGGGGCTTTACCTGGCAGCTGGTAAAGCCCAGCGTGGGGTTGGAGAAGAAAATCCTGTAATTACCATGACATAACTAGGTGGCTATTCCTGCTCCACCAAGACATACTGTCTCTCCTCTCTGAATGATTAATCTGGTTTTCCCAGTAAAACAAGTCCTACAGGAAATGCAATGATTTTCACACTGATTCACAGTACTGACTCCTTTTAATTTTTATTATCTTTTGAATACTCATCACGGTCCCAGGAAAACCCTTCAGGTCTGTGATCATAACTGAAAGTCAGAATATGTGATCTAAGACTAAAGCTGCCTGTAAGTGGAATATTTTTAAAAGGTCTGTCAACATAGGCAGGTAGTACATATGGACATACATGTTCTTAGACCCCTGTGAATTTTTGACAGGGCTTTGCTTGGTGCCTTGGTGCTGTTGGAGCATACACATTTCTCCTGGTGTGTCAAAGGTTTAGAAAACACTCGTAAACAGTGGCACTAACCTTCTTCCACTTCCAACCCTCTACACCCCACTTGCATATTTCCTTAAGGGGAGGGGAAGGAAAGGATAGAGTGGGACAGGGAGGAAAGCAGCTAGGAAGGGGAAGAGGAAGAGAGAAAGGCCGTGTTGTAATTAACCCCCGCATGGGTCTCCACCAGGGACATGCCTGCTTCTCCCTGGGGAAAGCCTGCGGTGGCCAGCCTTCATCTGTAATTCTCTTTATTTTTAGCTTTAATTTGTGGTTCTCAAATGATGGCAATTTTGATCCTCATCCCCACAGGAAATATTTCAAAATGTTTGGAGACATTCTTGGTTGTCACAACTGAGGGGGTGCCAGTAGGATCCAACAGGCCAGGATAGTGGTAAACATTTCCTAATGTAGTCCACTCTCCACAGCAAAGAATTATCAATTCTAGTTTGTCGAAAGTGCCAAGTTTGAGAAACTTAATAATCTCATTGAATATACCATGGTGTTATAGATCAAATTGTGTCCTCCATGAAGTGACATTTTGATAGCCTAACCCTTGGTTCCTCAGAATGTCACCTTATTTTGACATTTGATCATTACAGATGTAATTAAGAAGGGGTCATGCTGGATGGAGTAGAGTGGTTCCCTAATACAATATGACTTGTGTCCTCAAAAAAAGAATGCCATGTAAAGAGATAGAGACACAGAGAGAGCCTGATGTGAAGACAGAAGTCTGGAGTGATCTATCCACAAACCATGAAGGGCCAAAGAGTGCTAGCACACCACCAGAAGCCAGGAGGAGGCAAGAAGGATTCTCTTATGGCTTTCAGGAGTAGCAAGACCCTAACTGACCCCTTGATTCTGAACCTCTGCCTTCAAGACTATGAGACATTAAGCAACCCAGTTTGTGATACTTCATTACAACAAGCCTAGGAAGTTAATGTACCTGGTTTCACTGACATTTACTCCATGTATGTCCTTACTTCCAACCTTTCTCAATCAGGACATTAACTCTTAATAATGGAATGGTGTTTGCTAAGCAATAGAATATAAATCTTATGCAATTATATTTATCTTAATCAGGAAGCAAGAGATTGACGTCAGTTTAAGTGATAAAATGTTTTAAGCAATCATGATAAAATTACATCAGAATGAAACTTGAAAGA